AGCTCTATCCCCCGGACCTGCCCCCCATCGCCTCATGGTCCTGCCCTGGGGTCCCCCAGATCAGTGCCACCCCTGTCCCCCCATGTCCCCTGCATCCCTCGAGCATCCTGCCCTGTCCCGTCCCCTCATCTCCGTGTCCTCCCCAGCCCTGTCCCCATTCCACCCCTGGGCCTCCTCACCCGTGCCACCCTCTTCCACCCCTGGGGGTCCTGCCCCCTTTTCATGCCCACCTGTCCCCAGGGTTCCTGCCCCCAAATCACCCTCTGTTACCCCTCTGCACCCCCATCACCATTTTCCTGCTCTCTGTGTCACCCCCATGGGACCTGTCCTCCTGTATCATCCCGCTCCTGCTCTCTGTGTCACCCTGGGCCTGCCCCCCACCATGGGTCCTGCCCCCCCTGTCACCCCTAAAGCTGTTCCTCTGGGTGCTGCCACTGGGCCACGCTCATCCTGTCACCTCTAACCCTACCCCATTCCTGCACCTCCACGTCACCCCCTGACCTTGTCCCCCCTCTGTCCCCCCTGTCCTAGGGGTCAGTCCTAGGGGTTACCCCCATTCCCCATGTCATGTGCCACCCCCTGTCCTGGTCCCCTCATCTATGTGTCCGTCAGCCATGCACTCATGTCACCAAAGCCACAGGAAATCCCCAGGGGACACCCACAATCGGGGGGGGGGACGACATGACAGGGACAACACGCCACGTGGCACCCATGGGTGCAGGAGGGGCACTCGCCACCACGGGGTGGGGGGGGGGGCACCCCACGGCTGGTTCCCAGCACGATGGCATCCTTGCAAACGAGCTCCAGAAGACGGTGGCACCTCGGGCCGGCTCGGGAGGGTGGGTGCAGAGCCCAGGGCAGATTTTGGGTGCTGAGGGGTGGGTGGGGTTGCAGAGACTCCGCAGCAGTGGCCCTGCCACCCGTTCCGGAGGCGGCCGGTGGCTTCGGGCCGAGGTTTTGTTTGTTGTTTTGGTCGCGCTTCCCATGGAGACGGGACTTGTGCAAGCGCCATCGTCCCTCCCTGCGCCGTGGGGACACGGTGGGTGCTGGGGAGGCCGTGTCCCTGCAGGGCCTGCAGCCCCCCCGAGCTGTCCCCCTGCCACCATGGCCAGGCCCTGGTGGTCCCTGCCACCGTGGTGACTGTAACCCCTGCTACCACAGCTGCTTCCTGTCGCCATCACAGCTTTGTCCCCCACCATCACCATGCCAGGTTCTGTCTCCATCATGGTCGTCACAGTTCCCGTATCCTGCTGCTACAGTCACCGCCTCCCCACCAAACCCCTGATGTCCCTCGAACACTGTGTCCAGCCTGTCCCTGCCATGGCCACTCTGTCCCCCGCCACCACAGCCACCTTGTCCCCACCACAACCACCCTGACCTCACCTCTGCCACCACAGCCATCTGATGGCCACCACAGCCATCCGGTGGCCACCACAACCCCTGTGTCCCCCTACCACCACGGCCACCCTGTCCCCACAAAAGCCCCCAGCCACCACA